GGGCCGGGCAAGTCGGGCGCCGCTCCAAACAGGCGCGCGCGTATGTCGCCTGCCGCCGCCCGTCGCGTCGGAATAGACGAGGTAGCGTGGCCGCTCCGGGGTCACCCGCAGGGGCACCGCTCGTTCCGGCGCGCTCCGGAGGAAGCGCAGCCACCATTCCAATGCCCCGCGGAGCCGCGACTTCAACCTCCATCCCCGCTGCTGCGCGTGCCAGAACAGCGGGGCGAGGTATACCCGGGCACCTGCCGTCGCTCTCGCGCGCGCGCGTCGCTCGCGCGCGGGAGCTTGGGCGTGCCTCTGCCGAACACCGCAGAGGAGCCCCATCCGAGTCTGCCGGCAAGTTTTGATGCCGCCGCCGGCGACATTCTCCCTGCCTCCAGCACCCACTCGATCTCTTGGATCCATTTGTGGCGCTTGTCGCCACCGATCGCGAATACTAACGAGAGCTCATCGCCCGATCCGCGCACTTCCGCGTCGACGCCGAGCACAGTGGCCCTCGGCTCGGCAACAACGCGTTTGCCGGCGTCCAGGCGCCAGCCCAAAAGGTCTTCGACGACCGCCCTCAGGACCTCTGCGGCATCGCGGGGGCCGCCCGTGCCGGGCCCCCTGTCCGCGTCGGCCCGGAACAGATCGTCCACGAATCGGCCCGAAGCGAGCGAGAACAGCTTGGCAAGGATGGCCTGCCGCGCTCGCGGGGCGCTCGCCGTGCCGCCGCGGCGCTCGCGCCTCGCGCCTGGAGCGCCGCCCCAACGCGGTCCCAAGCGTATCCGCTGCCCACGGCGCCGAAGGGGCAGCTCAAGAGTTGCAGACAGTAGCCCTCGCGGGCTCCCTTGGCCCATACCGAATGGGCCAACGGGAGGTCGGCGCCTCGCACGGGCAACGTTTTGTAAGCACCGATGAAATCTTCTTTGCTCAGCACCGGCGTGCCGGCCGCGGCCGCGATCCGCGCCAGCTCGACCAGAGCATCGAGAGAATCCACCCTACGCGCGGTCGCGGCGACACGGGAGAGCGGACAGCGCGCGCGAGGGGCGGGGGGGGGGGGAAAGGGCCCGCCTGCACCTCTCGGCTGCGGCGGCGCAGTCATTACCCAGAGGCCTCTGCGATCTTAGGCTAAGATCGAAGATCGCCGATCTTACACTCTAAGATCGGTGATCGTTTCATTATGTTAATAAGTTCATATTTTTATATCTCTTGAGCCTTCCTCACAAAAAACTCATCCTCTCTCGTCCACCGTCCGTCCGTCGCAGTCGCCGTCGTCTCGCCCGCTCCTCGGTTGTCGTCGTCGTCGTCGTGTCGGTCCTCGTCGTCGTTTTCGCTGTTGTCGCCGTCGCCGTCGTACGTCGTTATTGCGTTGTCGCGCATGTGATCGTCGATCCTCGTCGTCGTCGTCGTCGTCGTCTCGGTGGTCGTCGTCGTCTTCGTCGGTCGTCGGTGGTCGGTCGCCGTGGTCGGCGAGGCGCAGCAGGCGAGAGCGAGGGGGGAGGAGAGGGAGAGCGACAGAGGAGGAGTTGAGGCAAGGACGGCAGGATTTAAGAACAAGATTATTCAACGCGGCCTCCAAGACGGCCCAAGGGAGTCCAAGACGGCCCAAGGGAGTCCAAGACGGCCCAAGGGAGTCCAAGGGCTCCAAGACGGCCCAAGATATTTCCAAAGGGCAGGGGGCGTCGGCGAGACGCCGCAGGCGTATTCGAATATACATTTAACTATTTGTTATGTTTATGTCTTGAGCTCGCCGCAGGCACCGCAGGCGCGGGGTCGTTCGAACAGCCGTCGGGTGCGCAGATATATCAGCGCATAGTTAACTGGCGCATGGGGCCCAGGCTCCAGCGAAATCAGGCTGCCCGTAAAAAAATGGCCTCGCGGACGAAATATTAGATACATGAGCTTCTCATTGCACGTCGTCGGCCGCCGCCTCGACCTGGTCCTGCACCTCGAGCTGCTCCAGCAAGCGGTTCGCTGTCACGTAGTACCACTTCCCGTTGATGAGGTGGTGCTTGTCTCCCAGCTGGTCCCCGTCGGGGTGGCTGCCCTGGCAGTTCGTGATCTCCAGATCGTCGACGCCGAACTTCCACGCGACTCCGTTCACACAAATAGGCTCGAATGCCGAAAGGATGACGAGCTTCAAGTCCTGCACGGTCGAAGACGCTGCCGCGTTAGTGAGCGCAGCGAAGTCTGGAACGAATACTTCGCTCCACGTCGCCGTCGGCTCGATGAACACAAGCGCCTGCATGACGTGGCTACCAGTATGGTCCGTAGGCGGTTGGTAGTTCCACTTCAGGCGCGGCTCGATCTTCACCCAATCCACTGCTGCCGCCACCGCCTCACGCGTATCGGCGACGAGCCACGTCAAGTAGTACACGCCGTCGTCGTCGGCGAGCTCCCGTCCGCGCGGCTGCTCCGCGCTGCACTTGTGGATCACGATCTCCTTCTGCTTGAACATGCTGAGCCGCGCCTGGAGCTCCGCCCTGATGCTGGGCGCCATGACGCACATCGCGCCCGCGGCGGCGTCGGCGAAACCACTGGGCATAATGGCGGAGTCCTTGGCCAAGTCGACGACGAGCCACGTGCCCGCTGACGGCGGGAGCACGTGCATCTTGACATGGTCGCGGCCCTGGGGGCTCTCGTCCCACGCGTTCCCCTGCATGCACCGAGGGGAATTCAGGACGGGCATCGCGGGCTCGAGGGGCAGCCGACTGGCTGACCGAGGCGCGACTCGAGGGCGGAAGCCCTAAGAAACAACACTGCTCGGGCCAGTGATGATGGCCGCGGAGCGCGCGTGCAAGGATGCCAGCAAGGATGCAAAACCACGGGCACGAAAGGATGCAAGACCATCGGCAAGCATATGTAGGAGACCGTGGAATTCCAACGCAACACCATTATTGCAACAACCGAGCACGCTAGAGGGGAGGATGGAGGAGGAAGGAGGGGAAGGTGGAGGAACGGCGGAAGGGAGAACTGGGAGACTAGAGAAGAGGGATGGTGGAGGACTGGAGAAGGAAGGAGGGAAGACTGGAGGAGGGAATGTGGAGGACTGGAGGAGGGCCATACGCATGCCCTCGGACGGGTTTCCCCCTGTGTCGGGGGCCCACGACGTGGCCAGTGCAGGCCCCTTTGATCTTCGTGTCCCTCCTCTTCCTCCTCCTCCTCCTCCTCCTCCTCCTCCTCCTCCTCCTCCTCCTCCCCCTCCTCCTCCTCCTCCTCCTCCTCCTCCTCCTCCTCCTCCTCCTCCCTGTATGTCCCTCATCGGCCTCGTCCTCGCGTCCTCCTGCCTCTCGTATTCTTCCTCCGCCCTGCCTCGCGACGATCTGGAGAGTCCGAGCCTCGGTCGCCCATCCCCCTCCTCCAGTCTGGGCCCAGCGGTCTAAGCTCACGTAGCTCCAGTCTGAGCCCGAGTTTGATCGGGCCGACGACGACGACGACGACGGACGACGACGGACACCGACGACGACTGGCGACCGACGTCCGACGACGACGACGACCCACGACGGCTGAAGACGACCGACGACGACCGGCCACGACCGACGACGACGACGGGCGACGGTCGACGACGACGACGGCAACGGACGTCGACGACGGGCGACGACGACGGCCGACGGACGACGACCGACGACCGACGACGACGACCGACGACCGCCGTCGAGGAGGGAGGGAGGTAGAGGGAGCAGGGGCCCCTGCTTTCGCCAGCCCGCATTTTTCTGCGGCTGACGCCCATCACCGCCGACGGTACTGGCACAACCCCTTAGGTTGCGAATCAGGCCGCATCCTTTCTCTCTCTCTCTCTCTCTGTCTGTCTGTCTGTCTGTCTGTCTGTCTGTCTGTCTGTCTGTCTGTCTGTCTGTCTGTCTGTCTGTCTGTCTGTCTGTCTGTCTGTCTGTCTGTCTGTCTGTCTGTCTGTCTGTCTGTCTGTCTGTCTGTCTGTCTGTCTGTCTCTCTCTCTCTCTCTCTCTCTCTCTCTCTCTCTCTCTCTCTCTCTCTCTCTCTCTTCTCTCTCTCTCTCTCTCTCTCTCTCTCTCTCTCTCTCTCTCTCTCTTCTCTCTCTCTCTCTCTCTCTCTCTCTCTCTCTCTCTCTCTCTCTCTCTCTCTCTCTCTCTCTCTCTCTTTCTCCCTATTTTTTATTTAAAAATCTCTCTATATACCCCTCATATGTGCTTTCTCCTCGTCCCCCGCCTCCTCCTTTACCCCTCCTCCTCCCTCTCGTTTCCACCCTCGTACTCCACCTCTTTCCCACCCTGCCCCCGTTGCCCTTCTTCCCATTCCCTCGCGAGCTCGACCCTTCCGCGGCGAGCAGATCCGAGGGCGGCGGGCGCGGGGCCCGAGGCCAGCCCGCCAGCGAAGAGGCGAGGGTAGAGCGTGGACCCCCCTTCCTCTCCTGGCATTCCCCAGCGGGGGCGGGTCATTGGGGGAGGGGGCAGATGGAGGGAGGGGGAAAGACCGAACAGGAATGGAAGTAACAGGAGGGAGAAAGATAGCAAGGAGATGGCGGGGAGCACGTCAGAACTTCGCGCAGCGGGCCCGCCGCGGTTCGAATTCGACCAGGTCGCGAATTGCATAGCTAGCGGAGTAAGGATGGGGGAGGCGCTCTTGGCCAAACTATTGCAGCTGTGATGTTATGCGCCCCCCTCTGCCTCTCCCCCACTGCCCCCTTCTCTCACCCGTGCCGCGGTGCCCCCGCCCTCCCCCCTGCTCGCCTTACTCCGCGCTACCGCTTCTATCCGTCATGACGGGGGCTTCGAAGAGAGAGCGATGCCAGGGGCGCCCGAGGGGGGGTGCGATTCGAAGACCCCCTGAGAGCGCGGGGCGCGAGCAGCCGATGATGAGCTGAGGCGGGGGAGAAGCCAGCGAAGCGAAACGCTCGGGGCGGCAATGCGGCCGCGGCTTGAAACTGGCCGGCCCAGGTCTGCGCGGGGCCTGCGACGCGGAAACGTGTTCGAACCAGTTCAAGGTTTGGAATGGCACCAGGGACACAAAACTCGTATATGATTTCTGCGTTGCCTGCAAAC